TCGAATCCACAACTTTACTCCAGCGGTGTCACTTAAGCAACGTGCCACTAATGTCCTCGAAAAAGTACGCACCATTGCCTCAGATTGGATGACGACTCTCCAGGGGGTACGGTTGTCACAAGAAAGTACAAAGACACAACCAAGGCATGCGCTTATCGCCACGTCTTTTGTTCTCCGGGCTACCTTTGATATCGAGACAAGCCATGGAAGCTCCCCTTTTCAATCTGAGGAAGAGGTAATCAGATACCTTTATGCTGGGACATTCATCTCCGATATCCCTATCAATGATCTCCCACATGGCGTTCGCTTTCTCGCCCACCGGGACTACCGAATTGCGCTATCTATGCAACCATATGTCTCCACTATGTGCAGTAACTCCGATATACTGCATAATGTCATTCTTAGTAGATGGGGTCGTTATAGAAGTGGATCCAACTGGACCCAATTGCGCGCCCCGGCAGACCGATGGTGGGTTACCATGACCCGCGGTGGTGCTACATCAAACTCTCAAGTGATCCACTTCAATATCGTCAGCGGGAGCTTCTTGACCGATGGGAAACCCTTTGATAGGCTCCCGTTGGAGTACGTATCCCATCCTACTTACCGCGCTTTATTCGACTCTGAGGTAAGTTGTTTGGCGTCTCTATTGAATAGGCCCTGATTAATTCTTGATCCAGGGGATCGTTGGTGTTAGGCCTTCCACCATGAGAGGCATGATTTATGAAGGTCATTATCAAAATCATGAGGTACGAGATCCGTTCCCTGTACCTGTCACCTACCGAATTTATCTATGTAGATTCATCTTCTACTTGCCGAACAAGAGTTGATCATTCGATGCCGACAAGATGACGAAATTGAAGAATTTATTCCATCTCCCGCCCTGGCAAAGGATCTCCCATGCAATTTGATAGACGGTAGCCACCACTGGTACAAAGAAGATGTCAACTGTATTGAGATAAGGCCTCGACCCCAAACCTGGTCACGTGACATTCCAAAGGCGTGGAAGGTTCTCCTGCAGCCCAAAGAAACCCAGCTTGTCGGGACAGTGTCAAAGGAACTTGAATCAGGAACATCTCAGCTTGTTGATATTCACTCTCTTCTCTACAAACATCTCTCTCATACACTTCGATCGTTGGAGCCTTATTCAGAGGGGCTACTTGTCACGATTGACCAGGACCATCTCATCAACCAGCCATCCGTCTATCTACCTAGGCACGACTTAACTTTTCGTGTCAACTCGGCAAATAGACTAGAATGTCAGAGTTTTCCTGGCTTTGTGCTCGATTACGACTTTCGAGGTATCGACACCCTAATAGGCCTAAAAACTATGATTTCTCTCCGTAGCGAGGACAATATGTCACTACAGCGGAAGGTTATTGTGCCTAAGGGATCCATATCATCGGCCATTGGGCTTCATGGCCATCCTTCGGTCACCCTCACATTACGAGACCAAGGGGGTTATTTTGCCTACGACGTAGACAAAATTCCTGGTCGGCTCCAGGGTAGTCGCTCGATAGAAAGCGATCTCTTCCTCATTCAACTTCATGCTATTACATCGTCGCCCTTACCTGACGACTTGACGGGTCGAAGCGGAACCAATGAAGCTCTCGATTACCTTAGTAGCTCGTCGTCCTTCTCAATGTACACCCTCTCCGACGAGGCAAGAGGCTATCTTGATAGCATTGCTGCCCTCACACCGTCTCGGAGCACTTTTTTGCCATATCCACGAATGACAGAAACCATCAAGTGGAATCACAATCTGCCTATTCTCTCGCAACACCCTGCATTTTTGCTCCTAGTCGAATCTATTCTGGAGTATTGGCGCAAGTTTGCAGTCTTTTACTCTCTTGAGGATCTACTCAAGCCGATCAAGCACCCAACTGGGATGAACTATTTGTCTGTTCGAGCAAGAGCCCGCGACTGGGTGTTCCACCACGTGTCCTATTCTTGTGAAGATGTAGATGATTCATTCTACCAACCCCGTGATTGTATGAAAGACATGGAGTCCCAGGAACGCGAGAAACTCGCTTTTCAAGTTGCCAGTCTTTGTCAACCTTCAAACGCAGCATTTCCCAATTTCCTATCATCTACCGATGAGCTGACACGATGGAGGTCAATAAATGCAGCCGAACGCTGGAGTTGGGACGACATCCCCCAATGGTTGCCCCATGCCAGGTCTGTGGGCAAGATATGGCAAAGCCTCTACAAACTGTGTTTAGAAATTATATGGCCGCCATCTTTTCAAGTGATTTCTACTCTCAGCTTTCTTGGGTATTGCGAAGCCCCTTTCGAGTTCTTGGCGACGCTTGCCGCTCTCGCCCGACGGCCACATCAGGTCCCACCGAGTCCTACCTTGGCCTATAGTCTGGACCTCAGAGAAGGGCAAGAATTTGATCCAGAACAGATAAAGCGAATCCTAGCCAATTACACCGTGGCATATGAACAGAGCCGGGAGTCAAGAATAGTGCAGGGACCCAATGAAGGACAGCAAGCATGGGATGCGCGGGTGCAACAAGCAAGGCGTACATACAAGGAAAGTCTGGCACAACAAAAGAATCAAGTTATCGCAGAAATGCGAAACCACTGGTCAAGCGGTTCCAGCCATTTCGGCTTGTCAGCAAAACGCTTGCTTATCCTCGATGGAGAATGTATTCGAAAACTGTCTTCAACACTGAGAGGATGGCGTCTCAATAAAGCTTTCCTCAACCATATGCGCACTCTTCCTACCATACTTGCTGTCACACACGCTCAACGCGTCAACTGGCCCCTTTACGATCCCATCTCAAACATCCCTAGTAGGGCATTCAATAAAACCACGCCCTTGACGCTGAAAGCTCTTCTAAATGCGCAACCGAGCCCACCTCGTCGTATCATCCCCATGGGTGAGAGGTCCAGCAGAGTTTTGCGTCCACGTCCTGCAGATATCCCAGGTGATTTGACGAGACTCATCGACCATCTCAACGAATCTTCACAGAGTGATCTCGAACGACGTTATGTCATGAACCTTAATGAGAGTGTCAATGCTCCACGACCTCCTTCTGACGCTCGCACAAGGCTGCCTTCAATCAATGTTCTCAACGATCTTGTTGAAGCGGCAGAGGACACTCATACCAGAGAGCTGAATCGCCTTATTGATGCCCTGACCCCAAGTGAATACATTTTTGCCTTGCAAGAAGCTGCCGGGCTATTTCCTGCATTGACTCCCGTAGCCATTCTGCGTCAAATTTCACGAAATAATCGCAAGGGTCTACCTGAAGTATGGGAAGGTTGCATTATAGACTATGCTTTAAGTGTG